TATTTGCTTTGTCAATCCCCTTTTTACCCTTGATAAAGTATTTTTTCATTTTTTAAAAATTGACAAGTCATAATTATATATATTTATAGGGTACAGTGTGACATTTTGATATATGCATACAATGTGGAATGATTAAATCAAGTTGATTAACATATCTATCAGCTCACTTATTTTTTTGTGGTGGTACATGTGTAATCCCAGCACTTTGGGAGGCCAAGGTAGGAGGATCGCTTGAGCCCAGGAGTTTGAGACCAGCCTGGGCAACATAGCAAGACCCCTCTGCCCCTTTTTTTTTTTTTGTTAACATGGAGTCTTGTTCTGTTGCTCAGGCTGGAGTGCAGTGATGTGATCTCGGCCTATTGCAACCTCCCCACATTCTGGGTTCAAGCGATTCTCCTGCCTCAGGCTCCTGTGTAGCTGGGATTACAGGCATCTACCACCATGCCTGGCTAATTTTTATATATTTTTGGTTGAGATGAGGTTTCATCAGGCTGGTCTCAAACTCCTGACCTCAAGTGATCCGCCCGCCTCAGCCTCCCAAAGCTCTGGGAATACAGGCATGAGCCACTGCGCCTGGCCTGACTCCATCTCTACAAGATAACAACAAAAAAACCCTCCAAAAAACAAACCCCAGACAATGTCATTTCTTCCCTTCATATTTCAGTACACATCTCTAATAATATGTTCATTTGCATTCACAACCATAACACCATCATCACATCTAGGATCATTAACATTGCTTGTTTGGCCTCCCTTAATACCTAGGCCATCGTTGAGTTTACCTGATAGGCTCAAAAACCTTTTTTAAAGGGACAGTACCTCATTGTGTCACCCATGCTGGATATGATTGTTGCTCAGGGTAACCCCTAACTCCTGGGCTCAAGGGAATCTCCCACCCCACGTCAGCTTTCCGAGTACACGGGACTACAGGCATGTACCACCATGCCCAGCTAATTTTTTTTTCCTTTTTTTTTATTTTTTATTTTTGAGACAGAGTCTCACTCTGTTGCCCAGGCTGCAGTGCAGTGGCACAATCTCAGATCACTGCAACCTCTGCCTCC